ATCTGTCCGACTAGATATTGCACTTCTGGATGAGAAACCAGTAAATGAACCAAGGATATGCTTATAAGGCTTGCGGATGCATCTGCAATGGCTGTCAATTCAGCAGAACAAATTAATTAGTTGAAATTATCCTTCGTGGTACCAAAGGAAAACCAGCCTCTCTCTAGTAAATAAGCTTTGATAGATATAGAATAATAATCCTGAGTGCAGCGTTGCCAGAGCCTCCCCTCTGCCATCTGGAGCGATGTTCCTGCATGGTGATGCCTCATCAGCTCTGTCTCGGTTTCCCTCCTGCTCTGTGTTTTCTCCTCTCCCTGTCCTTGCTCTGTCATAGGAGGATGCGTGTGACTTCTCTTCTGCCCTCTTTTCTTCCTCCCTGGCAGTTCTTGGCTTCAGAATGTAGTGTTTTGCTTTTTAACATCTTCACATATAAAAAACTATGTATTCATTAGGATTTTTAAATAGAGGAAAATATAAAGGACCAGAAATGGCCTCCCATGCAGATAAATTTCTGTTGATAGTATGAGGAAGTAATGTATGCCCATGGATCGAAAGTTAGAAAGCAAAAATTGTATGTGATGTTAAAGCTCCTTACCCCGCTTATCCACCTTCCATGCTTCTCTCCCCAGTGATAATTACATTTTGGTGTATGTTCTTTATAAAATTATTTTAAATATGATACACATCTGTATATAAAAGTTGAAATGGATGTATCTTTTCTACTTACATGGAATAGTCCCAAGAAAACTGCTCTGAACCTATCTTTTTCCCCCTCTATTTATTTTATTTGTCTCATGAGAAAAAGTTTTTTGAGTATTTGACACAGAATGTTACACTAGTTTCAGGTGTACAACTTAGTGAATTAACAAGTTTATACCTATGCTAGCTTCCCCACAAGTGCGGCTACCATCTGTCCCAATACATCACTTTTACACTATCATTGACTGTATTCCTTTTCTACGTCTTTTATTCCCATGACTTATTCATTCCATGACTGGAAGCTTTTACCCATTTTGCCCAACCCCCACCTCCCTCCCCTCTGGCAACCATCAGTTTGGTCTCTGAACCTATCTCTTATTACTTAATATATCTTAAAGGTCCCTCTGTAGGTGCCTCCCCTTCTCTCCCATCTACCTTATTCTTTGTATCTCTTGCATGGTATTCCATTGTGAAAATTGTTTAACTTACTGGTCCATTTCCTTATTAATGGGCACTAAGACTTTCTCTTGAACTTTTACTTTTCAATACTACAACTGTGACTATCCCTGTATGTGTACCTTTGAACAATTCTGCAAAGGAGGTGTGCATCTTACCTGTTGATGGTTGTTGCCAAATTGTCCAAAAACTAAATCAGTATTCACTAATTTAGATATGTCACCAAAGTGCTTGACCATACTTGTTTTTCTGTTGATCTTTTCTAGTTTTTTTCCAGTATGATAGAAAAATTTTATCTCATTGTTCTGATTTATATTTCTTTGTGCATGAAGATGATGACCATTTTGAATTTACAAGCAATCTGTACTTTGTGAATTTTCCCTTCCTATCCTTTGGCCCTTTCTCTGTTTGGTTGTTGTTTTTTCTCATTAGTTTATATGAGGCCACCTCCTCAGGCTTCCCCTGAGCCTTGATCTAAAACAGTAACTGAGCTTCACATCAGTGTGTTTAATCCTCCACATAGGATTACAACTGGATATATTTCTCACTTGTTTATGGGTTTCCTTTTTTCTAGAGTAGAATCTCTTAAGGAGCAAAGTTCTCCTCTTAACTTGTTCATTATTGTATCCCTGTCACATAGATCCAAGCCTGGCTCATAATAAACACTCAGATGTTATTGAATGAATGAAAGAATAATCGAATTAGTTTATATGTGTTATACACATTTTTTTAAGTTTGTTTTCTAATTTTGTTTATGCTACTTTTTCCGATGGAAGCTTTGCATTTTTATGCAAATTTACCAATCATTTTCCTTTATGATTTCTGAACCTTCCTTGCTCTACCCCTATAAATAAATTTACCCAAGCCTCCTGTGAAAACTCCTATGGTTCCATCTTTTAAAATTTATTTTTATATTTAAAAAATCTAGTTTTAATTTTTCTAGGAATAGTTAGCTAGTTCTTCATCATTCATTGAATTGTCTCTCCTGCATGCATTTAGCATACAACTTTGTGGTAAACTACATTTCCATGGATTCCTGAACTCAATCAAATTGTTTAAATTGCTGTAATTTCATGATAGGTTTTAATATTTGGAGAATCTGATTCTCCCTCATTTCTTTTCTTTTTGTTCATGGCTATGATTGCATATTTTTTCCAGATGAACTACAGGATCACTTTTGCCAAGGCTGAAAAAAATAGTTTGAAGAAATACGTAATAATATTCATGTATAGCCGGAATATATGCCTTTTATAGTTTTTGTCTTTATCTCATATCTAGAACTGATGAGAATTTAATTTGTTCAGAGTTCATGTTATTAAACTTAGGATGGACTGGATATCAGAAGTTGCTCCTTGGAGAAAAGGGTTAGTGCATGTGAGAAGAATTCGCATCCTTTGACAAGAGAGTTTTTTATTTAAGCTAGATATGTTCTGCTAGAATTTTTGAGTTTAAATAGGGGCTATATTCTGGCATTTATACTTGAGTATGATGAGCTACTGACAAGTTATTCTTAAATGCCGATTTTGGATGCATCTTTCAGGAGATTAGATAAAAAAAAGTCTAAGTTTTAGTCTTTATTTTGCGACTAATGAGCCATTTAGCTCTTGATAAGTTACTTAAGCTGAGTTTCTGATCTTGTTCCCTCATCTGTAAAATAGGCATAATCTTCACTCATCAGTTAATATTTTATTTATCTGCTTATCTTTGGGAATTATTGTAAGGATCAAATAACAGAATTCTGGTAAAATTTTTGTTGGAAAATGTTAGGTTCTGGTTAAACACTGTACCTTCAAAATATTTCATTTGCTTACCTCTAGTCCCTCTCTCCCTAAAGCCCATTGAAAAGATGATAAAGGGAAAATTTTGTTTTAAGATTTATTTATTTATTTGAGGGAGAGAGAGAACACAAGCAGGAGGGGGGAAGAGAGAGGGAGACAGAATCTCAAGCAGACACCATGCTGAGCCCGAAGCCCCCCTCACAACCCCTGAGACCACAACCTGAGTGCAAAACGTGTTCGATGCTTAACAGACTGCACCACCCTTGCACCAACCCCCACCAAAATTTTTTTTTCAAAGCCATAAGCCAGTAAGAGTAAAAGAACAGGTTGGAGACTGCAGTAAAGAAAAGGAACCAGCAGGATTTTGGAAGCTAAAACATAGAGCAGGAAAAGCCAGAACTCATTTGGAAGAAGTCATAAGGTGTATGTTTTTTCAAAGTTAAGAAGTAGAAGAATACGCATACTATTAAGAAGGAGGTAATTGGAAGATAAACCACACACAGGAATTGAAAGTGATTTGGAGGTTGATGGGGGAGGACAGGAGGTTCTTTTATTTTAGTATAAGGCTTGGTAGTACTAATAAGTAGCTCTCTTACTTGGTAGACTTTTAACTATGTTCATACATTATAGTGACAAAAAATAAAATGAAATAAATGACTTTGTCATTGCAGGAAAGTGAGTCTCTAGCACAAGGCCTGGCATCTAGTGCATGAATGCCTATAGAACGGTTGAGTGAATATTGTTCAATTATTTAGAAAACTCTCCGATTTTTTTCTCCTGGTGGTGGTGCTGGATAGCAATTAGAATTAAATAATGTGCTTTAAGGATTGATGATATATTTGGGTTATCACAGTATATGAAACCAGCCTCTTTGTTTGGGGGATGGTGTAATGTTAGAAGACCTTTGAATAAAGTTAAAAAATAAAATGTCAACCTGAACTTTGAATTTATTTTATATTTTGCATCCAGGACATTTTGTGGTTAAAAAATACATGTGTTGGCATGTGTTTAATCCAGATATGTCAGCATTCTCCCTACCAGAAAATCCTCTGACCTGCGCGCTAACTTAGGACACGGTTCTGATAACTCTCATCCTTTGCCTTTTCCTATCTTTGAAAAGGGGTTAAAAATCAGTCGGCCTCAAGGAAGGCACTTGACTACTAGAGAAATCCTGGCACCTAGTTCTTTGGCTTAATACCATAAGCAGAGTGACTAAGTTTGGAAGTTACCTCTTCTAGGAAAAAAATCAGAATGTCCACAGCAGCGGGGCGCCTGGGTGGCTCACCCGTTAAGCGTCTGCCTTCGGCTCAGGTCGTGATCCCAGAGTCCTGGGATCGAGCCCCGCATCGGGTTCCCCGCTCCGCGGGAAGCCTGCTTCTCTCTCTCCCGCTCCCCTCGCTTGTGTTCCCTCTCTCGCTGTTTCTCTCTCTGTCAAATAAAAAAAATCTTTAAAAAAAAAAAAAAAATGTCCGCTGCAGAGATTTAGTTGTAGTAACACGATCTCCTACCCGAAGCAAAGTATCCCCTCTAGGGAGTCCGAAGTTCTGCTGGTATTAGAAGTAATTAGTCAATAATAGGTAAGTTGATTATTCTCCAGGATGCAGAATGTTTTCCTAATGGAATTGCACTACAGAATTGAGTCCATCATTTATTTGTAAGCTGCTATAAATTTGTTGGGAAAGAAATGTTAGAGAAATACCAGGAAGTAGTATTGTGTGACATTTCTTGAACAACTGATGTGATTTTTCTTTGGAAGACACAGGTGAGTTTGACTCATACTGTATTTTCCTCTGTGTATGTTGTACCTATTAGTCTAATATCTTGAGCATGCACATTGGAGTTTTAATCTTACAATTTTATACTCCCAGAGCTATTGTTTGACTCAGGCACAATTATTTTTGCTACCTAATTATATAAGAAAATAATTTCACATGGAAATGGTACTTAAGTAGAAGTTTCAAAAATAAAATATTATACCAGCTCAGGCTAAATATGTAATTGATTTGGGGATCTTCTGTACAACCATGTTAACTGAAAGCCATATTTTAAAACTTTTATTGTTCTTAGAGTGAATTACTGGAATTTAACCGACAACAACAGGAGGAAGAAAGAACCAAAACCCACCAAGCTGAACACAGGAGGTATAAATGGCTAATAAGATAAGCATCCTTGATTAAAATAACTACCAGTTTTTGCAATGTTTTAAGAAAACACTATAGTCATATTGGACATGGTTTTGGAATCTATATTACCTTGTTAATCTCTATATTATTGGGGTATGGTATGTATGTGAGGATGCCAACTGCTACATACATACACACATACACATGCAATATCCAATTTTTCTGGATAGGTGGTATAAATTCACACTAGAAAACGGAATCATGCTGTCAAGCTATTTGTTTATTTAGGAGATACTTAATTTGCCTCCCATGGGACAAAGAATCTTATTACTTTGAGATAATCTTTTACTATTTGTAGACAACTTTAGAATAATTGAACTCGTACAGATGGTGAGATACTCATACTTGAATATGAAAGGTCAGACAAGAACTATTTTATATTGACTAACATATTAGGAAAAATATCTTAAGATAGAACCATTAAACAATTTTTAACATTGTAAGTACTCTCTTATCCCTAGTATCAGACACTGAGAGTACCCAGTAAAATACCATATTGATGTTGGGCCAGTGCTAATTACCTCCATATCTATCATTATTCTAGGATTTTCCTGGGGGCACTGGGGTTATCTGAGTTTATTGAAGTGTGCTTGAGGATCTCAGAAGAATTTAATGTAAAGGCTTTCCTGATCTAAAAGAGCAAATTCTTTTGAAGCTGAGTGGTTTCACTTATATGTTTAACATTTCCCTATTGCTAATGTGTATTTTTTAGTTGTGGTGGTTTCATTTTGTAATTGAGACTTTACAAAGTGTTAATGGAAGCTCCCAATTCTGCTGGAGCTGTGAACTATGGATGGGTACTCATATAATTTTTCTGCGGGGGGGACTGGATTATTCTGCTTCCATAGTCCAGTCAAAATAGTTTTAAACTGTCAAATTTATGTGGTTTTCTCTGACTAAAAGACAACATCAAAATTCTGATACACTGGGTAGGCTATTTTTTTGGGTAAGTGGTAACAGTTATTGCTATTTTTTTTTAAATAAAGTAGGATATAAAATAGTTTAGTCTCTTATTGGTTTTTCTCTTTAAAATTATTTCTACTAAAAAACCTGATAGTGCATTTCTTTAACACTGGTTGTTAGTAAGTAGCCAGTTATTTCTCTGAATTTCTGAGGATTGATTAGATTGTAAAGCTTTAAGCATCTTAAAGATAGTGTGATATGTTACATTAATAGGCCCTCTTGCTAAGAAATTCATGTTCGGTGGGCATCCAATAAAAATGAAAGTTATTTGATTAGAGGTGGAAAGGATTAATTTCTTGTTGTAGGAAACTTGACCCTCATTCTTTATTTCCATAATACTGGATACCTAAATATTGGTGGGGCTATTTATTTTCTACACCTTATTTTCTCTTTTTACTGATTCTAGTTAAATATAGATGCAAATTTAATCTAAGAGGAAATCTCTCTGGGTAAAAACCTCAGTAACCAGTTTTGAGGTAACTGATCAAGTTTTTGAACACATATTTTATGTTCTCGGTTTTTGAGGAGAGCATATGTTTGTATTGTCCTTTAGAGTTTACAGTGGGCTTTCGCATGTTAAATGAAAATACTCATTCAGTAGTCTCTTAATGAATAAAATCACTGTGACTGTTCCTGCTGAGGGCAATAGCACTAGCTGTGTGTGTGTGTGTGCGGGGGGGGGGGGTTTGTGGGTGTGTATGTGTAGAGGCCATAAGTTAGGTTTTCTCCAGGGACATAATTTTATTAGAGTCAAAAAGACAACATGCTTTTTACTATTTAGAAGTTGACATAGCAGACAACTCAACTCTGTTTTATAATTGAAAGCTTGTGGAATTCCTCACAAGCTTTTCCAATGCCTCCTATATTGATTGAGCCTGGCTGCACCTGAACCTGACCCATGGTAACTTTCCAAGTAAGAGAAGACAGCTGAAACTTCAAAGAGAAAAGACAAAGCATGGGCATCAAGGACTTGAAAAGATCTGCTCTATGAGCTGAAAACTGGAGTGAACTGAATTGATTTACTGAAACTTGAACCATCCTCAAATAGTTTTTATCCATATTAACCCTTAGAAGGAAATCCAGAGCAGTGGTTTGACAGCAATAAAATGTATGCACTTTCTAAGACTAGTAAACAAATCTATAAACTGGTACTCTTTCTTCCCTTTGAATTCGCAATAGGAATTGAGAAAAAACAATCTCTTTACCACCTATGATCTCTTGTTGACCCACTGTGCTGTCCTCTTAGTAACTGATGCTCAAAAGTGAATCATATCACCTGTGTACATGACAAGCCATCAGTCTTCACAGTGTGTGAACAAATTGACAGCTGTGGACATTGGGCTGTTTTGCAGCCTATACTCACCCTCACTGGTGGTTTCATTATGCAGCTGCAGTCACAGAAGTAGGCAGATGTGGGCACCGTACACCTGGATTATTCATTTATTCACTTTTTACCTATCAGGACACACTCCGTGAAGGATTTGTTCTAGGCACTGGGAATCGGCATAAGATAGCAGAGAACATCCCTGACTGCATGGAAATTACAATCTGGAGAAAAGAAATAGAAGTCAACAAGTTAACACCAGGAGTATTTCAGACAATGACATGTATGTGTGGGGAGAGACTGGAGGTGACAGTTCCTCCATGAAGAGATAACATCAAAGGACAAGAGCCAGTCACATAGAGATTGGGGTCAAAATCATACACTTAGATGTCCCCTATTATTAGGTGTAGGAAAAAAATGCAAAGGCCCTCAAGTGGGAATGAGTTTGGACTTTTTGAGTCTCAAGTGGTTGGATTATAGATGGTGAGGAAGAGAATAAGATGCAATGAGGTTGGCAGAAGCCAGAAAATACAAGATTTTGTAAGCCAGTGATTTTATTCTAGGACTAATGGGAAATCATAAGAGACTCTTCACTCTAGGAAACAAACTGGAGGTTGCTGGAGGGAAGGGGGTGGGGGGATGGGGTAACTGGATGATGGGCGTTAAGGAGGGCACTTGATGGAATGAGCACTGGTGGTTATATGCAACTGATGAATCACGAAATTCTACCTCTGAAACTAATAATATGCTGTATTTTAATTAAGTTGAATTTAAATGAATGAAAAAGACTAATGGAAAATCATAGGAAGGTTTTAAACAAAAGGAAGGCATGATCCCTTTTATAATTTAGTAAGGTGGTTGTGTGGAGAATGAATTACAGAGGGTGGGAGTGGAAGCAAAAGCAACATGAGAGAGGATGGTGATTTAGACTAGAATGGTGGCCATGGGAAGTTTTGGTTTTTTTTTTTTTTATAATCTATAACACACAGGAAAATCCATGAAACAAGTATTTAGAATGATTAATTACAGAGTGAACATCCAAGTAGCCAGCTCCAGAAATAGAATATAACCACCACCCTACAGTTATCCCTTATTCTGACCTCTATGATAATCATTTTCTTGCCTTTCCTTAAGGTTTTACCTTCTATGTGTTAACCTTAATTTCTGAAATTGATTGCTGCAATAATGACCAAACATCGGGAAAAGATATACCCATTCTTTCTTTTGAAAGTTTGAGTTTCCCTTTTCTGATATTTCCCATTTCTTATACTCTCTTCCTATTTTCCTTCTACTTTGCACTTATGGGATTTACTTTAGCAAGACTGGCAGAGGGGTACAGGGCATATGGGAGGGACATTTCCATTGCAACAATAGTGCCACAGAGCTATTTTTGGTTCCCTTCATGTTTCAGGTCTTGCTGAAGCTTTCATCCCCCCTCAGCCTCTAGAGTTCACACCTGGCATGGCCTGGAGGGGTATGGTTGCTGGGCAATAAGGCTCTTGCTGAACTGGTAGAAGATGAAGGACTGAAGCTCTGAAGTTCAGAATTGTGCCCCCTCTGGCTGGGGCCATAAATGGCCCCAGTTCCAGCAAAGGGCTGTTAACAGCATGTCATGTGGCTAATGTGAAAAGAAGTTTTCTATAGATTACTTCTAAGCTGAGGGGGGAAAGCAATCCTCACAGTCAGTTCATACAGCATGTTAGGTTCTCAAAAATCTCTCAGCCCTGTAGCAAGCCTTCCACTTACACACATTTTTCATTGTTTAAAGGGTAAATAATATTTTTCTGGACCGGCTCCAAGGCAAAAGTCAACCAGGTGGCTTTGAGCACGTTGGAGGCCATTGGAATATGAATAGTGGTAACAGCTGGGTGAGTTTTTTTTCTTTTCTCTTAAAAAAAAAGCTTTCAAAGTTGAAGAGTAAAAACAATGAGAATTTTAAAAATATGTTGTGGCTTTCTCCCCAAGATACTATTTTTTGGGTGTGCTGTTCAGCTGTGTGATGGGCAGTCAGCCAGGGTGATTACTGTAAATTCCACAATAGTTTCTAGAGAGGAGAAAGTCCTGGTTTCAGTGCTGGCCAATCAAAATAAAAAATGACACCTGCCCTTTGTTCTCAGTGTGATTGCCTAGACTGTAAAGATTTTTTATCACCCCTTGCCCAGACCTACAACAAAAACAAATGAAATTTTTTTTTAAGAGGATTTTCAGCGCAATATGGTTATAAAAATAGTAAGCATTCTCTAGTAATATATTCTTTCAGTGAAACTAGCACATCAAAGAAGCCAGTATTTAATTTTTCACTACAAAATGATTTTTTAAAAAACCCTACAGCAAAAGGCACTTTTTGGAAATGAAATGTCCTTATGGATTTCTGTGAAGAAAACCTTGTAACTGTGTTGTAATATGTGTTTAATGTGTTTTGTGTGTACAATATATCATTGAACCAGCACTGAATCTTTGCAATGTGTATAATTGTAGGCTTTGCAATGTGTATAGAATCAAAACTACACTCGGTTTTATAATTTAATTGAAGCCCAAGCGCATATGTACCTACTAAAAAAAATGGAGCAGATAGAAATCTTCAAACTGGTAAAATACAACAAAATAATCAAGTGCTTGCTGGAAACTCTACAGACCACCCTTTAATAAATACTTGATGGACAAAAGATAATTTTTGAGAAGACAATCTGTTGGAAATCTTATGCATGTTTTCTTGAAAGGCATTTAGTAGTTAAAATTGATGAATAGATTTCACAAATATATATATATTCAACTATCTTCTATATACATATATAGAAGATAATTGAATGTAGGCAAATTTGCAAGGAATGATACTGGATGTGTATCCATAATGTACGTTCATGTGTATCACTATGGCATTCAGAATAGGGACAACATGGAAGAGAGAGAAAAGAAAACACATATTTTTGTATCAAGAGTTACAATTTACGAATTATTGATTTATTCATAAGAATAGATGAGTAGGAGTCCTGTGGAAAATGGGGCATTGTGACTGAAGACATTATCCAAGTTCATGAAATTTATAAGTTGTGAGACATGATTGAAACTCGGATTTTGGACAAGACTTGGAAACTGCACATTTTCTCCTCCACTTACCAACTCTCAAAATTTAGAAAGTACTTAGAAAAATACCTGGAATGGAGGGGAAGATGGTGGGAGAGAGTAAATGAATACCATGTGGGCTGCTGTTAAGGGAATGAGGGTTTGGAAATCTAGCTCACCACTGACTACTGGTAGGCTTTACGGAAGTGAGCTATAAATCTCTGCTTGGATTCTTCATGGATAAAAAGAAAAGAACATCATTTTCTTTTGATATGTGTGAAGGTTATTAAAGTTTCCTTAGTAGGATAGTCTTGGTCAAGCCCAAGGTGGTTATCGGCTCTTCCCTTACTTGAAAGAAGCAGTGACAGAAAGGCGAGAGCTTCCTCAGGGCCCCACCTCCACCTCCCTACAGACATCCTTCCCTCTATGTCTGCTTCTCCTTGGGGACCAGATTCTTTCTCATCCACCTACCAGGGGACTTTATTCTAATGATACTCCCCTCTCTCCTGAATGGTCAAATGTTCATCTGAACTAGAAAATTCCCATCAGCATAAAACAGAAATATAAATTATATTGATACCCTTCTCCCTCTTGCTACTGTTCTGTTTCTTTGTTCCCTTTTCAAGCAAAACTTCAAGAGGTATCTATCCTTTAGCTGTCTGTAATTTCTTTCTTCCCATTTCTCTTAAACTCATTTCAATCATGATTTAGACTTTAGTATATGTGCTGCCAAAGCGAGCATCATGATTTAGACTTTATCAGTCCAACCATAATGCTCTTGCCATGGCCACTAATGTTGTCCACATTACAAAGTCCAGTGGTTATTTTCCAGTCTTCCTCTTTTGACCTATTGGCATCATTTGTCATGGTGAATCATCCCTTCCTCCCTGAAGCCCTTTACTTGGCTTCTGGGGCATTATACTCTCCTGGGTTTCCACCAGTCCTAGTGGCTACTCCTTTTCATTCCCCTTTGCTGGGTCCCCTGTATCTTGCTGTCCTCTCAACATTGGAGCACCTCAGAGTTCCACCTTGGATCACCTTCTGAACTTTATGTTCACTTAACACCTTGGTGGCCTCATTCATTCTCATGAATTTAAATACCATTTATGTGTTTATTACTCCCACATTTCTAATTCCAGCCTTGACCTCTGGACTCCAGACTTGCATATCCATTTATCCACTCAACATCTCTACTTGCATCTCTAGTGGACATTTCAACCTTAACATGTCTAAAAGTTAACCTTTCATTCCTTCTACCCGAGTGCTCCATTTGCACTTTATCCTTTCATATATTGGTACAACCCATCTCACGTCACTCACAATTGATCTATCAGCAACTCTTCTTGACTTCTCCTCCAAATATATACAAACCAGCAGCTTCTCACTACCTCCACCACCATCATCCTAACCTCCGTTAGTGCTCAGCTAGATTCTTGAAATAGTTCCTAGATGGTTTCCTTGCTTCCACACTTAGCCACATACAACCTATTCTCAATATGAGTTATCCCTTTGAAACAGAAGCCAGATCCTGTCACTTTCCTCCTTGAAATCTTTCAGTGGCAGGGCGCCAGGGTGGCTCAGTCATTAAGACCTAAGCCTTCGGCTCAGGTCATGATCCCAGGGTCCTGGGATCGAGTCCCACATCAGGCTCCCTGCTCTGCGGGAAGCCTGCTTCTCCCTCTCCCACTCCCCCTGCTTGTGTTCCCTCTCCCGCTGTGTCTCTGTCAAATAAATAAATAAAATCTTTAAAAAAAAAATCTTTCAGTGGCTCCCATGACTCTCCAAATCACATGGAGTAAAAGCCAAAGTCCGTACAGTAGCCCACCAGGTGCTTCCTGCTCTAGACCCCACTTTATCCCTCTGGTGCTCTCCTACCACTGCCCTTCCCTTCTTCCTCATTCCTCCCAGCCACACTAGCTTTCCTGTTGCTCTTTGCAAATTTAAGGAACTGGCTTCTTTCACCTTATGGCCTTTGCACTGGCTGTTCCCTCTCTACTCTTCTCCATATGATTTGTTCTCCAAGCCTTTTCTTGATCCCACCTCAGTGAGGTTTCCTTGGCCATCTATTTAATGCTGGCACTTGTGCCCTTATCCCTGGCTCTAGCCATCCTTTTTCTGGGCTTCACTTTTTTTTTTTTTTTCCATGGCACTCTGCAACTTCTAACATACCTTTCTAACATTATTTATTTATATGTATTATTTACTGTTTTCTCTTAGTCTCTCTCTGAGGTAATGTATGTTCCATATTGCATCAATCAGGGCCCTTTGATTGTTTTGTTCACTGATCTATCCCAAGCATAAGACAGTGATTGGAACTTAGCACAGGCACAAGGAAACAGGTGGCTGTGATTGACGGTTGGCAAAACAACAAAGATTTAGAACCAAATGATTTGATATACTGAAATGCTGAGATACTAAATTTAAAATAGCTATGTATAAAACACTTGATGGAACAAATATTGGATTTGAAGCAATGAGCAAAAACAAGAGACAAAGACAACCAAGAAGATTTGAAAAAGAACAAAATAGAACTTCTAGGAATAAAGAAACAATCTTTGGAATTAAAGCACTCAATGAATTCATCACAATAAAAGGAACACAAATTAAGAACTAAATAAAAATACCATTTCTCATCTATTTTGGCAAAAGAACAAAAGATCTGCAATATACTCTTTTGGCAAGACTGTGGGGAGAAGGGTTCATTCACACATCGTTGGTGGGAATTCAAAATGATACAAACACTATCTAAATTAATTTGTCACTGTCCCTTTGCATAAAATAAAAACCAGGCCTAGACAGATTGCAGAAAAGCTCTACTAAGTATTCAAAAAACAGATTATTCCGGAAGTCTACCAAGTTTTCCAGATAAATAAAAAAAGAGAAGATAATCTCCAAAGAATTAAGCAAGTGAATATAACTTGAATCAAGATCACACACAGACTATACAGAAAAAAAAATATGAATATAGGCTCACTCATAAACACAGATTTAAAAAATCACAAACAAAATTTTGACAGATTCAATAATAAATTTCTTTAAAAAGCATAATATATCCTTATCAAATTGGATTTATCCCAGATGCAAGCTTGATTTATCACAAATGAATAAACAAAACAAAACAGAAAAACTGAGATGATTTACCTCATAAATTATAGGAGAAACACCGTATGATCATCTTAGTAGATCCAGAGAAAACATTTGATATATTTCAATACTCGTTTGTGCTAAAAGCTGCTAGGAAATTTCTTTAGCTAATAAAGGGAGCAAAAATCTATAATAGAAATACATCAAAAGAATTTCCTTTAAATCATATGCAAGGGTTGAAAGGAAAAGAAACATTTATAAATCACAAATGATATAATTATCTACTCAGAAAATCCAAAAGAATTAATATTTAAGTTATTAAATAAGAGGACAACAATGCTGGTAAGTGTAGGATCAATCTATAAAAACTTCATTTCTATAAATTGCAAATAAAAATTTAATAAAAAGACAAAACCAAAAATGGACATAACCTTTAAAAAAATTTTTATAGAAAAATCTTAAGGAATAAATGAAGTTATACCTTGTTAATAGACAGGAATAGGAAGGAGCTCTCAAATAATTTATAGATTTAATTAAATTATAGTCAAAGCAAAGAACCAAGAATAACCAATTCGCTACTAAAAATAAAATAAAAAGTATGTATGGAGACTTGATTAAACATTTAATACAGCCTGGAATTGGCACAGGCAGACCCAACCATTTTCTGGAATTCTGACATATGACAGAAGGCAAAGTACATCGTTGGGGGAAAGTGTACTCTTTAACAAATACTATTGGGACAACTGAATACCCACATGGATTGGTGGATTAAGGTAGATTAAGGCTTATAAGTAGAAAAGAAGACTTTTCAAATTTTAGAAGAAAATAGACTATTTATAAAATTGAACTAGGGCAGATTTTGTAAGACCCAAAGTATAAACCAAAAAGAAATGATAAATATACATTAAAATGAAACATCTGTTCATCAAAGAACACCATACAAAAGAAAGAGGAGAAGCCATATATGAAAATTTTTATCCTGGACATGTTTTGTAAATAACAAGTGGACAAAAGTTTAGTATACAGAATGTATTTAAACTGTGTCATTTATTTAGAAGTTGATAGATAACAGCTGAGCTCCCCCAGGAATGAGAGGGAAGAGTTCACAGATGGGGCTTGGAGGAACTACTGGAATCAATAAAAAGCTGAGGAAGAAGAAAAGAAGGAGGGCAGAAAATACAACAAAACAATGATGAAAGCCAAAGAGAGGAAAAACTTGTTTCTTGCAACATCATTTGAACACTTAAGTAATAGGTCTTTGATAAGTGTATTTTGGGTAGACAAATTAGATTGATCTTTATCTTTCAATCTTTTTAAATTTAAATCACATTAGTCTCATATTCCTTTATATCTATCTACATATAGATACAGTCTTTGAAAAATTAAAATTACTTTTACATTAAAAATTTTTTGGTTTTCTAGACCCCTACTACTTTTCATGATGTGACTAGGGTAGGACTTTGAAAGAATCACTTCAAGCTCTGTTTTCTCTGATACCAGTAGGTGTGACTCTTTGAAATGTTGTGGAAACTCTAAATCCTGTGTCTTCAAGGGCAGTTGCACGTTTGCCAAGACCTATGAGGCAACCTGAGATTTTAGTTTCCCAGAATGTTAGAACAGCAATGGTCTGAATCCCAAGTGTAACGTTGCCCAGCATTCTGGGAGGCTTGATGGAGACTTCTTGACCTTTTGCGCAGGGTGGGGGGGGGTGGAGGGACTCATTTAGTCTAGCTCCCCTCCTGGAGGTCCCCTTAGAAGTCAACTTTCTGCTGCATAATACGATGCCATTCTACTCCATACATTTCCATTTAAATTGCTCTGCTTCACACTGTGTTGGTCCTGTCCTTGCCGTAACTATGGAGGTGGATGACAGTATTTGTGAACACTATTATTTGTGACCTATGTTAACCTATTTCTAAGAACACAGCTGATGAGCTGTCACTCAAGAAGCCATTACATTGTTGATAGAGTATTTTCTGAATCAAATGCAATGGGACTGGAAAATTAAAACACGTCACTGGGACAAATCATTAAATAAAGAATAGGCATTTAAGCCCAATATAATAGTGTTCTTTGAGGGAACTTCATTTTGTACTTAACAGAGGCTCTGAATTTTGTTTTGCTGCTTATATTCATTTTTGTTTTCTTTTTCTTCCAGGATGTATGAGAAATACTTACATCTGTCCTTTGTCAACTGATCTTGAAGAACCTCACTTGATGATTTTCCTTAACGCTCCTTTGTTTATCCTCACGGTTTTTACCTTGATTTCAATTGCCCACCCACTTCTCTGAACAACTGGGGATGACCGGTTTTTCCCTGTCATTTATGCATGTTTGTAGGAGCTGATTGCTGAGCTCATATTTAATTTCTACTGCCATTGGAATGTTACACTATTTCTCTCATTGGTTTCACATCTTATTGGAAGCCTAATTACAGCAATGTTAGTAAGATGAAAAAGGAGGGAATCATTTGATATTTTCAGGTGTGCAAGACCTATGGGTGCTGCATGCTTGTCTCTCAAAGCAGCTAATTCTTATGTAAGTCTCAGATCACAGTTGGGGAAGCTTTTTTTTAAATTTTAAGCTCTACTTAATCTGGGGTACAAACCTGAGCAAAAGAAAAAATCTTTTATACTCTTTTAAATGCATTTATGAATAAATTTTGAAATACTTCTGTATAAATGGTTTGTTTTTATTTTTAATGAAAATCTCTGAAGTTTTTCTCTTTTGATGGGTCTCATTTTTATATTCTTTATAGTCCATGTAGATCAAATGTAGGACTGCAATCACTATTGGATCTGCCTTTGGTATTGATTTACCTACTAATACTGTTCCTCTGGTTTTTCATAGTGGGCCAGTTAATTGCCTGAAAGGCCATTGTTTATATAAAAGTCAACTAGATACAAATATGGATACAATGTGTGGTTTTTAGGTGTTTTGGAAACTTGTCTTTTCTCTATACAATAGAGAAAAATGTTCTATAGCTAATTCGGTAGGCTTTCCTGTTCTACTTTTATGCCCTTTAACCAGGTTATAGACCTTAGAGTGCAAGAATATTGGTTTTCCATGCTTTATGCTCTAGTCCCAACTCCATGTTATATAGGAGAGCACTGCATTTCGTCTTAGAATGAAGGTTGGAAGAGTAAATAGTTTTTGCAGCTGGGAAACTAATACTATTTTTTTAATGACATGTAATTGACATGCAATGTTATATTAGTTTCAGGTGTATAATATAGTGATTTGACATTTGTATACATTGCAAACTCACCACTGCTGTCTAGTTACCATCTATCACCTTGCAAAGTTAATATAATATTATTTGGTATATTCCCCATGCTGTACGTTATATCCCCATAACTTGCTCATTTTATAACTGGAAGTTTGTGTTTCTTCATCCCCTTCACCCAGTCCCCTACTTCTCTAAAACCTCTCTGGCAACCACTAATTTGTTTTCTGTATCTGTGTGCTTGGGTTTTGTTTGTTTTGTTTTAGATTCCACATATAAGTGAAACCATGCATTATTTGTCTTTCTCTGTCTGACTTATTTCTCTTAGAATATTACCCTCAAGTTCCATCCATTTTATCACAAATGACGAGATTTCATTCTTTTTTGTGGCTGAGTAGTATTCCATATAAGGATTATTTGTTTTCTGTGAAAAATTCCATTGGGATTTCTATAGGGATTGCACTGAATCTGTAGATTGCTTTGGGTAGTATGACATTTTAATAATATTAATTCTTCTAAGCCCTGAGCACAGAATATCTTTCTAATTATTTGTATTACCTTCAATTTCTTTCATCAATGTCTTATAGTTTTCAGTGTACAGGTCTTTCACTTCCTTGGTTAAATTTATACCTAGGTATTTTATTCTTTTTGATGCAATTGTAAACAGGATTGCTTTTTTTTTTTTCAGAATTGCTTTTTTTGATTTCTCTTTCTTATAGTTCATTATTAGTATACGGAAATGCAACAGATTTTTATATATTAATTTTATTCCTGCAACTTTACTGAATTCATTTATACTAATAGTTTTTTTGGCAACATCTTTAGGGTTTTCCATTTATAGTATCAAATCATCTGCAAATAGTAACAGTTTTACTTCTTCCTTTGCAATTTGGATGCCTTTTCTTTCTTTTTCTTGCCTAGTTGCTCTGGCTAGGACTTCAATATTATGTTGAATAAAAGTGGGGAGAATGAGCATCCTTTTCCTGTTCTAGGTCTTAGAGGAAAAGCTTTAAGCTTTTCACCATTGAGTATGATATTAACTGTGGGTTATGTATGTTACCTCTCTCCCCACTTTAATGAGTTTTATCATGAATGGATGTTGAATTGCATCAAATGCTTTGTCTGCATATACTGAGATGATCATATTTTAATCTTACATTTTATTAATGTGGTATATTGCAATTGATTTGTGGATGTTGAGCCATCCTTGTATGCTGCAATAAATCCCAGTTAATTGCAGATGATCCTTTTAATGTATTGTTGGATTCAGTTTGCTAATATTTTGTTGTTAATTTTTACATCTGTGTTCATCAGGGATGTTGGCCTGTAATTTTGCTTTTTTGTGGTGTCCTTGTCTGGTGTGGGTATCGGGAGAATGCTGGCCTCATAAAATGAGTTTGGAAGTATTCTCTCGAATTTTTTTTGGAAGCCTGTCCCTCGGGCTGAAGCTCCAGGTTAAGAAAATTAACCTTTTCACAGGAAGACTGCGGTTGTGTTTTCATCTTCTGTCTATGTAGTGCCCTGGGGTTGGTGGCCTTCCAAGAACTGTCTTTCTGATTGTTACATTCCTATGGAGCTCACAAATGCTAGCCCCCTTGGCTACCAGGGCCAGGTGATTAAGGGGCTTTCCTGTGTGTCCCCACTGGCTTTAGCCAGGGAATGGGGGAGTGTTGCAGCCTTCCACACTTCATGGATTTTAGCTAGGGAGCAGGAGAATGCTGCCACTGTTGAAGTTTGCCTGCCCCAGCCGGGAAGTAGGGGAATGCTCCTGCCACCTGTGTGCTGCTGGCTTCAGCGAGGCAGCAAGACGGTGCTGCTACCACTGGCCCCTGACTGTCTTAGCAAAGTGGTGGGAGGGCTCTGTGTCCAGGTGCACCCACCTGTGCTAGCAGGTTAGATGGAGTGTCCAAAAATGGCACGGCTAGTACCTCCATCTCTGGGATGGGGGGTAGTTTCGGCTGTCCCCTACCCCTTTAGCTGCGAGGAAGTGAGTTCAGGATTTCCCTATGCTACCATCTTGTGGAAATCTCCCCCAAACTAATAACACTTTGCAGCATTAAGAGATCTTCTGTGTTACCAGTCATTCTGTTGAAATGAACTTTCCCAATGTGTATTCAGGGAAGCCTTGGGACTTGAGGTTCCGGGGCCAAGACTGAAGGGTCTCACAGAAGCAGGACAAAGGTGTAGTGTAGACAGGGCTGCACTGGGTGGGGGTGGGTGGCTGAGAACAGACGGCACTCAGCTAGCTTCTCTGGAGTAAACAATGCCGATACGCTTGGTTTTCCGCTCTTCTGCCAGCTGAAGCTGCGTTAGTGCTATTGACACTAACATAAAATGTTTGGTCCATTGGAAATCTTTGTCGTTGCCTAATATGAGGAAAACGAAATCCCTCTGCCCGGATTGGAAACATCACCAGAATGACTAAATGTGTGAATGTTGCAGGCATTTTACTGCTGTGGCATGAAGCCCTTTCAGCCTTACACCTGCCAGCCTAGCTACCTCAAAGTCCACAGTCGTGTTCTGGTTGTCGTGTCTAGGCTCAGCATTCCTCACTTGCTGCTATTTCCCAGTGTGTAATCAAGAGCTGATATAGGGGAAAGGGATGCCTTTTTACATTAGTGGATCTCAGGACAGTTGGCATTAATTTCCTTCCAACTGCCTGCCGTATCCTGCCTCCCCAAAACAAAGATTTTGTTCAAGTACCTGGTCTCATTAAAAAAGGAAAAAAAAATCATTGTGCAGGTATGGAAAATTGTGACTTCATGGCCAAAATTATCTAGAATATGTATGGTGTCGTAAACATCTTCTTGAACAATTCTCTATGTAGGTGGAAGTAAGCAGAAAAGAAGCAAGAGTTGCTGTGTAAGGGAGCCTACTGTTTGCTTTGCACATTTAATCTGCCCTGTTGAATCAATTGGAATACAATTTTGACTTGTGGATAACTTTGGATAGGAATCTCAAAGTTTCCATCACAATTTCTATGCTTTTGAAGTGCTTTTTTCTTCTAAAAAAGAGAATAAAAATGAGACAAATTGTTACAAAATAGGTCTTTGTTATAGAAACTTTAGACATACAGATGAGTAATAAAAAGGAAAAAAACCAGTGATTTTTCAGGTATTATTTATAGACAGCCACAGTTATTATTTTGGTATGCACCCTTCCAGATATTTCTCTATCTGTACGTATATCAAAGTCCCCGCAATAGAAATCCTTATAGTTACTTGTCTAATGATTGGATTAGGACAAACACCTTGAATTAGAATTTATAGAGGTTTTAATATATATATAGTCAAATTACTTTCCCAAAAGGTGGCACAAATATTTATTACCACCAGAAGCATACCCTATCCTTAATACTGTCTGTGGTTTGTAAATCACTGTTTATATGCTGAGCAAAAAGTGTCATTTGAGAGCTTAACCCTTCTTTTTTCCATAGATTCACTGGTCATTCTTTATCTTCGTGTGTGTGTGTGTGTGTGTGTACAGCTGATTTGTAAAAGGTCTATGTAAAGATATTATGTTGTAAGTAATATAATTTTTATATATCTTTTAATACAGTATTATCTAACTTAGTATTGAGTTTTAAATATTTATGTATTTGGATCTCAATCTTTGTCCTTTGTGGTTTCCTCTTGGTATGATGTTGATAGATTTTTTTATTTTTAAAAATGTAACTTAATTTTTTATTTGAGTGTCGTTGACAAACAATGTCACATTAGTTTCAGGTGTACAACTGAGTGATTTGACAAGTTTATGTATTATGCTATGTTCACAAGTGTAGCTACCATCTGTCTCATTACAATGCTCTTACAGTATCACTGACTGTATGCCTCATGCTCTGCTTTTTATACCCAGTGACTTACTCTTTTATAACTAGAGGCCTATATCTCTTTCTCTGCTTCACCCATTTGCCTAACTCCATACCCCTACCCTTTGGCAACCATCAGTTTGTTCTTTATATTTATAGTTTTGATTCTGCTTTTTGTTTATTCACTTTTTAAACAAGATTTATTTATTTATTGAGAGAGAGAGTGAGGAGGGGGAGGGGCAGAGGGAGAGGGAGAGAAGCAGACTCCCCACTGAGCATGAAGTCAGACATGGGGTTTGAACCCACGACCCCGAGATCATGACCTGAGCTGAAATCAAGAGTCAGACACCCAACTGACTGAGCTACGTAGGCACCCCATTCACTTTTTTTTTTAGATTCCATTTATGAGTAGAATCATATGGTATTTGTCTTTCTCAGTCTGAGTTATTTCACTTAGCATAATACCCTCTAGGTATATCCTTGCTGTCTCAAATGGCATGATCTCATTCTTTTTTATAGCTGTGTAATATCCCATAGTGTGTGTGTGTGTGTGTGTGTGTGTGTGTGTGTGTGTGGTATGCATATGTACATTTATAATATGTGTATGCCATTTTGTGTGTGTGTGTGTGTGTGTGTGTATACACACACACACACACACACATCACATTTTCCTCATCCATTTGTCTATTGATGAACACAGTTTGCTTCCATGTCTTGGCTATTGTAAATAATGCTGCAATAAACATAGAGATACATATTATCTTTCTAAGTTAGTGTTTCCATTTTCCCTGGGTAAATACCCAATAATGGAATTATTGGATCATATGGCATTTCTATTTTTAATTTTTTGAGGAAACTTGATACTGTTTTCCACAGTGGCTGCCCCAATTTACATTCTCACCAACAGTGCTTGAGGGTTT